GACATACACACGACATCTAATTCTCTTTCTTTCATTATTTCGATCAACTCATTCGTCTTATCTCTCATGCCTCCTCTAACATTCCACGTGCCAACTCTGCACTCCGTCCTCCACCTTCCGCCGTGTCGGGCTGTGCGTGACGGGTGGCGGTCCCCATCGCCGCTTTGCGCGCTGCATTCCACACCAACGGGGACGAGCTGGTGTGCGTCGCCTTGGGGGGACGCCCTAACCCTCGTTGACATGGGTGCGCAGCTGAGTAGAATTGCAGCCCTGAAAAGGGCTGGCAGGGGTCGCGACGAGCACGCTTCTACAATGACCCCCTATACAATATTAACTGCGTGTGAAAATTCATAACATATTATAATAACATATTTATTATAACCGACGTCACTCTTACCGCGTATCAATTCTTTTTCTTACACGTAGTTAGTATAATATGCTTAAGATTGCCAATTATTTGCTCTGCATTTGACTCATCCATTGCCATTACCACTGCTGAACATAGGCCTCCCATATAGATTGCCTCATAGCAGGGTTATTTTCCATGGTTGCTGCGCTTCACAAGTCGATTGACAACCGCAGTTTATTATTGGAACGAACATCCTAATCTCACGGCACAAATTTGACGGATGGGGGCTAGGCGAGAAAAAGTGTAAGATTTTTTCATCACGACTCCTTTGTATAGTGCGAGTGAGATGGAATAAAATCCATCTCCCTCGCACTTTTCTTATTTTGCCATGTAATAAATATTATTGGAACGAAGTTCCTTATCGGACGGTACGGATTTGGCGGATGGGAGCTAAGCGACAAAAAGTGTAAGAATTTTTCGTCACTACCCCTTGTGTCATAGTGTGCAATTTTTTATTTATTTATTTGTTTGTATTTGTTAATCAATAATATAATACGTTTATCAATAATAATATACTACGAAAGGAACTTTCTTTTTTATTTTAAATCACGCTTCATTTTAATAGACGCTGGTAATTAATTTATTTGTATTTATTTTGTTAATCAATAATATAATACGTTTCTCATTAACAATATGCTACGAAAGGAACTTCGTTCCAACCGAGTGTTCCACGACACTCACGCATGTTTTTTTTTTAATTTTATTGACGCTTCATTTTAATAGACGCTAGTAGTTCATTTATTCTTTTTATTTAGTTGTTATCGAGAAGATGCTGCGGTGATCTCGTGGTTCAGTTTTTGTCTGTCGCCTCTTATGACATGATATGGGGTAGTGGGTACACTTACACCTCCCTACACGGTTTACCCATTGACTCATCACGCTCGTAAAAATAAGGACGAGATTGGCTCTGATAACCTATAAATGGCGCTTTGGCCATTCGTAAAATATTCTAAACTGAAATACTACTTAGTGATTACTAGAAGAGTTGTACTTCGCTTCTGAATCACCGCAGAATGGTTAGATTCAGAAATAATGTCATCCTGACAGTATTTTGGTAACGGTGGCCAGTCTCAGCAAAAACAAAAACACAAAAATAGTGCGATACATCATATTAAGCTCGTATACGGAAATATAGATGTGAATGAAGCCAGAGAGCTGTGTCAGGATCGCAGAAATTAGAAATCCGTAGTCGTTTTATGTTTTATGTTAAAAAGGGTGCCATTAAATTTGCCTATACACGATAATGACATTAAAAATACTTTCATTAATTTTGCTAGTTCTTTTCAGTTCACAAGTCAGTGTTTATTAATGTGACCTAAATATACACGACCTTAATGTGTTTACACACCGGCTTCCCTTAATCGTAGAATTCAGTGCCACCACAAGTAGGTCAATAAAAATATCAGCAAATTATTTTATCAGCTTAAATGAATTATATTTTTTAAATTTAGAATTTAAAATTAAAAATAAAATAAAATCTTGACTCTAGTACTTACAGCATTAGGTTTCTATAAAATATTAAAGCGTGGAGGTGGAAATCATTTAGACATTAAGTAAAGCCGTTCGTTCAAGTTGTGTATCGCTAGCAACGCAAAGTCGGGAATTTGTATTTGGAAAAATCCAAAATTAGGGGCTTTTTAGGTGCTAATTAGGTGCCAAGTTTAAAAATTAGGTGCTTTAAAATTTTCACCGCAACGAACTGTTGAAATTTGCGTTGCTAGTAAAACGTCTCGCTAGCAACGCAATAAAGTTATTAGATATACGATAAATATTAATAGTAAGGAATTAAGTGCTAATTAGGTGCTGCAAGTATACGCAATAACAAGGCGCCCCTAATAAAAATAAAGTCGTTATTCAGAACATAGCAGACGCAAAATTCAGATTTCCTGAAAATCAAAATAAAATCAAAATTGCTTTCAGAAAAAGTCCAAATTAGGGGCTTTTTAGGTGCTAATTAAGTACCAAGTTTAAAAATTAGTTGCTCCAAAATGTTCACCGTAACGATTGATTGAAATTTGCGTTGCTGGCAAAACGTATCGCTGGCAACGCAATGAAGTTATTAGATATACGATAAATATTAATAGCAAGGAATTAAGTGCTAATTAGGTGCTGCAAGTATACGCAATGACAAGGCGCCCCTAATAAAAATAAAGTCGTTATTCAGAACATAGCAGATGCAAAATTCAGATTTCCTGAAAATCAAAATACAATCAAAATTGCTTTCAGAAAAAGTCCAAATTAGGGGCTTTTTAGGTGCTAATTAAGTACCAAGTTTAAAAATTAGTTGCTCCAAAATTTTCACCGTAACAATTGATTGAAATTTGCGTTGCTGGCTAAACGTATCGCTAGCAAGATATACTAGATATACGATAAACATTAATAGGAAGGAATTAAGTGTTGATTAAGTGCTGAGCGATTATCGAAACCCGATACAGATTAAGATATTATTCTGGGAATTATGGGGTCCACGACCACCATTACCTTACTATAATGTATGAACGGTATATTTTGTTATTTATCAGTGCCTAAAAATTAAATGCTAATTAGGTGCTGAAAGATTATTGAGGTCGCATGTAGATGACGGTAATATTCTGGAAATTATCGGATTCAAAACCACAATTACTATAAGGTATGAACGGCATTTTATGTTTTTCAGATTTAATATAATCTATAATATTATTTAATATAATTTTCAACTAAATAAATATTTCTATTCTTATTTTTAGACAGGTGAAGCCAAAACTTTAGTGTACTAAATCGAAAGGATATTTTCTTTCCAGTAAATTGCTTTGTAATAAATAGCGCCATCTACAACGTTCTATAGTTCTAGTCATTTTATCGAATCAAAATCGATGGACTATCAAGGTGGTAAGTACGATAGACGTTAGATGGCACAAACACAAAGACCTGATTTTTGCATTTGCTTTACTGAATAATTTTCTGAATAACGACTTTATTTTTATCTGGGGCACCTTGTCATTGCGTATACTTGCAGCAACTAATTAGCACTTAATTCCTTGCTATTAATATTTATTCTATATCTAATAACTTCATTGCGTTGCCAGCGATACGTTTTGCCAGCAACGCAAATTTCAATGGTTCGTTGAAAATTTTGGAGCAACTAATTTTTAAACTTGGTACTTAATTAGCACCTAAAAAGCCCCTAATTTGGACATTTTCTGAAAGCAATTTTGATTTAATTTTGATTTTCAGGAAATCTGAATTTTGGATCTGCTATGTTCTGAATTACGACTTTGTTTTTATTAGGGGCGCCTTGTTATTGCGTATACTTGCAGCACCTAATTAGCACTTAATTCCTTGCTATTAATATTTATCGTATATCTAATAACTTCATTGCGTTGCTAGCGAGACGTTTTGCTAGCAACGCAAATTTCAACAGTTCGTTGCGGTGAAAATTTTAGAGCACCTAATTTTTAAACTTGGCACCTAATTAGCACCTAAAAAGCCCCTAATTTTGGATTTTTCCAAATACGAATTCCCGACTTTGCGTTGCTAGCGATACAGAACTGTTCGTTCAGAGCTTAGTCCCTCTCCGGTCGTGTCGGATTATCATTCCATGCGAGTGAGGGACTAGAGAGTGCAACTGTGCTTGCGCATACGCTCGGGCACTTTAATCGTGTCCCGCGCAGAAGCCTATTTATCCTCCGTAGTATAGACTGGCCGCCATGATCGAAATTCTGTCTAGAGCACATTATTATATTCGTTGATCGGTGGGACTTGCCACTTCTACAAGCGTGGAAGGGTCCACACAGCAGCATAACATGTGTATATACACATATGTTGTTGTGTGGATCTATCTTACAACTGTTTGAAATTTTCTGTTGTTTTTATAGATATGTATTTTTTTATAACCCTAGCTATAATTTTAATTTGTTAAAAACTCATATGGGCTCTGCCTGAAATAAATAAATAAATTATTTGGAAACGGATTGTCATAGATGAACGGATTAATAAGCTGAAGTGCTTATGGGCACTATATAGGCGGAGATCCAACAGTCAAGGTTTCCGAGTAATCGCTTCATATTTTCGAGAGCTTTGAAGAGCGATCCTCGTCTATAGATATGCGTGATAAGACGTAGAAAATCGTTGATAAATATAATCAAGAATATAGTTTTAATTTTAAATTTCACTTTAGCATTAGTCTAGTCTAGTGTCAGTAAGCGCGAATGCTGATCAGAGGTCTCGGGTTGGAATCCCTGGCCAACATTAGTTGCTGGGTATTTCGGTCAAGAAATTGTTAGGAGTAGGTCAGAGTCAAGAAGTTGGCAATGATTGCCCCCGTTTTTTGGAAAGCACGGCATGCTGTTGGTCACGAGCTCGATCTATCTCCGTTCGTATCGGGTCGCCGTCCCATCGGACTATATCAGTCAGGGAATAGAAAGTGCACCAGTGATTGCGCACACACCTGCACTATAACTCTGTCCTGCGCAGAAGGCCATTCTCCGAGCTATTCTTGATGATCGCCACCGTGACTAAAATCGGTCTGGATTATATTAGCAAATAGGTTAAGCTGCTAATAGATTTTGATATCAATGCTGTTTATTATAGATCATATTTATCTTTTTCAGGCATGGTTGGTGCTCCCGATGTCGTCAAGCCGTCAGACAAAGTCGAAGAATACTCGCCCCACGTCAACGGGAACCCTGTCTTCACGATCAGCGGTAAGTGATCAGCTCTTTTTGAAGATCCATTGATATACATGTAAACAAGCTTACTCTTTTATTCTTATGACTGTTTTCATTCCAAAAATAAGAATATTTTTATAAAAAGGTAACAAATGAGCACACATTACACCTGATAGTAGTGAATACTGTAGCCCATATACCGCTTCATCTATCCGCAATTAGTAATTAAAATGCAGATCAAGATGCGTGGTCACCTAACATGAAATACTTCGTTGGCAATAAACGGGTATCCGGTTCTCTCCACTCACCATACTAAACACACATTATAGCTAATGGTAGTGAATACTGAAGCCCATATATCGCCTCATCTATCCTCAATCAAGAATCAAAATGCATCCGTAGTGGAGGACTACGGACTTGGGGACTAAGATGCCCGTTATCAGCAGTCTTATGTTGCTATTTTTCGTTTGTAATCTCTGCGAGCGTGGTCCTTTCCCAGTCAAACCGACACATTCGTGCCAGATAGAACCATAATGTAGAGCTGCAGCGTGGCTCTATATTCTACAAGCATGTGTTTATTCCGACTATTTACAGAATGCACATCTCTATTTTTAATTAAAACTATTGCTGTTTTTGAGTACATCCATTAAAATAAATATTCATAATGCTGTAAGGCCAAAATTAATATATTTATTACTTCAAATTTTCCCCTAAGTCTCCTTCGGATTTAGATTACAAATTGCTCTTATGATCTCTTCTGCAAAATAAAGATAGTTTCAATGTCAGTCGTATTACCTTATACTCAGATTCTATACGACATTATGCTATAGAAATAACTAAAATAAACTAATCTAGCTGTTTACACACTTGTAAGGCCATAATTTTACAGCATATGCTGCAGAAATGTTGAAGCTTCGCGCCAATTGTAATTCCGAGAAAACTTGTTTAATCCGGAATCAACCTGTTTAATATTTCGTGCTGTGCTGTGATTTAATTTTTTTATGGGCACACAGTCCACCTGATAGTAAGTGGTTGCTGTGGCCCATATACATCTACATTTATCCTCGTTTGCGAATCAAAATACAGTTGCGTTTTCACCCGTGAGGACTAAGATGGAATGCCTCTTTTCAAGTAAAAAGGGTCTCCGGTTCTCTACAGTCAACATATGAAACACAGCAGCGTTAAGCTGCTATTTTACGCTGGTATCCTGTGAGAGCGTGGTCCTTCCCCGGTCGCGCCGACCCATTAGTGTTACAACTATACTACTAATATAGCTGCAGCTTGGCTCTACCACGTATAAAATTAATATTGACTGTGTAGTCGCGGTGAAAAAATATCCCCCCATATCGGGCCATGAGTGTCGCAAGGGGCAACAGAGAGAAACAAACCAGCTGTCCATCTCCGCAGCATCTTCCTAATAACTTAAAATAAAAAAATGCAGTTGCCAACACGTCTGCCAAATAACACCTATGAGACAATCCGTGATTAAGGCAAAACAAATAATAAAAAAACCGGCCAAGTGCGAGTCGGACTCGCGCACCGAGGGTTCCGAACAAATCCGTAGGTATTTAAGTTTAAAATTATTAAAAATATTTTTATTATATGATTTAACTGAAAACTTATGCTTTTCGCAATTTTTCCTTTATCGGTGCTATAATGCGTGGCTTCGTACCAAATTTTAAGATTCTGAGTTCACGCAAAGTACCCTGTAGATTTTGATTCCCTTGCGAATATCGAAAATTGGCGGCATAAACGGCTGTATCTTTTGATTGCGTTGGCTTAGAAGTTTGACTTTTTCACAGCTCCAAGGGACAATAGACATGAGTATTTGATATGAATTTCAGCTTGATACCTCCACGCGTTCTTGAGAAAAAAGGTCTTGACAGACAGACAGACGGACAACAAAGTAATCCTATAAGGGTTCCGTTTTTCCTCTTGAGGTACGGAACCCTAAAAAAACTTGATTATCTCTCACAACTCAAACACAAAAAAAAATCAAACGTGTGACTAAGCGGTAAGTTAATGAGAGCCTTTTCAATGCTTGTGTAACTATTTTGAAACGTGCTTATGATTTGTTGTTTTGTAATAGAAAAAAATATTTGATAAGATAAGTCTAATCTGGGGAGAATCTATTTACAAATAAAAACATAACACTTACTACACGATTAAACGTCTGAGATTAAACACTTAGAAAGTTACGTAAGTAGGTTAAAAAAATATGTCAAGTTTTCATAATTCCTACCAGATCTCTCACACCCAAAACACTGCTTCATGTTTGTGTGTGCACAATATATCATATAACGCCATTTAACGGAGACCATGAGGTCTCACTAGTTTTTCCTATAGTCGTCTCTAAGGACACTCACGGGACGAAAAAAAAAAAAGAAATATCACTATCGAGCTTTCGAAATAGATTAAAACTAACCTTTGCTTTATGATTGTGCTAGTTTTAATGTCTTATTCTAGATTTGGAGTACATTACATGCAAAAATGATGTTAATACTTCAATAAGTGATGTATTATCTTTCACCGTCCCCACACAGAGCAGATAAATTGCTTTTTCACAAAGACATTTAAGTAGTTAGTATACCTATATATTTAAATCTCTTTGCTTTTGCATAATTAACATGGAAAATCCCACACGTCCTAAAACATAATTTAATTAACTTTGACTTAAATATCAAAGGATGACAACAAATATTATCATTATATAGGCAATTGAAAACAATAAATGTGCAAGTCAACATCTCGCAAATATAAAGGGAATGTTGTGAGCCCCGACAAGCGATACAATGTAAGGCAATACAAGTTAAGATGGAGATTAAGATGTTGTAAACTATGCGATGGAAAGAAATTGCTGCAGAAGTTAAGATAGTTTGCGTTGCAAAGAGTCACAAGAGCTGAAAATAAGTTAAGTTAAGCGTTCTGAAATTCATAAAATTATTATTATTCAATATTTGATCAGTTTTAGGGTGTTACAGAGTCCATTTTTAATGAGCAGTGAATAAACTGCCAGAAATTAAAAAAGGTAGAAAAAAACATGCGTGAGTGTCGTTGTACACTCGCTTGGAATGAAGTTCCTTATTATTGATAAACGTATTATATTATTGATTAACAAATAAGAATAAATGTATTACTAGCGTCTATTAAAATGAAGCGTCATTTAAAATAAAATACACTATGACACATGGGGTAGTGACGAAAAAATCTTACACTTTTTGTCGCCTAGGTCCCATCCGCCAAACCCGTACCGTCCGATAAGGAACTTAGTTCCAAAAAATTATGGACGGATTGAACACGTGTTAAGTAGTGAAGAAAATATCGTGAGGAAATATGCATATAATATGAGAAATTGAAATAATATTATATTAAAAATTAACGCAAAAATATATAAGTGCAGCGCGACGAACACTGTATTGCCCTTAAAACTCTTTGAGAAATGAGAGGAGGCTAGATAAGGTAAAATATAACAACAGCATAATATATGGAGTCGATAAATTTTTTAACTTATATAAATCTGCGCTTGACTTTGGTCCCACCCGATAGCAAGTGGTAATGAAGTCCTAAATGGTAAATGCCACTGTCTTAGTGTAATAGGCCTATTCATTCCGGTCTTGAAGACAGCCAGATTGTAGCTGGACGAAAAGGCAAACGTTGGCGAATTATTCCCCTGCTGAACATTAACATGACAAGTGATAATGATAATGAAGCCGTAGATGCTAAATTGCATTGTTTTATAGTAACATAGGCTCACAGCATAGCACAGCATTTACTCTAGCTTCGAAAACAATCAGATTAATAATACAAAGAAAAGACAAACGCTGCCAAATTATAACACTATTTTGCTGTACGCATTACGAAAGACGGTTAAGCCGGTTCATTCGAATGAAGAAATGGGAGGGAGGAATAAATGATGTAATTCTTGCACATTCTTATTAACTGCTATTATTTTACTTTATTTTGTACTGACGACAGATACATTAGTGAACCTCTAACGATCTCTATTTATTTTTTTATTTTGTACTGAACAGTATGAAAATAATAGGTAATTAAATTTATTTCATTTGCAATTTGTTTTCATAATGATTTCTAAAAGAGACAATCGTTTCTGGGCCCACTAGAAATTTTAACGTAACTTAATTTTATTACACATAAAAAATATACCAATTTATTACATATAGTAAACAGTTTAAAGATTTCATGAAAATTTTATCGGGATCATGAAATCTGAAAAAAAAGGAGAGTTGTTTTGATATTCGCCGTGGTAGCTCAGATGGTTAGCGCTCGCTGTAAGTTTCACAGTACGCAAGCAACCCGGGTTCGATCCCCGCCGGCACCAATGAAATTGTTAATTGCAATTTTAAGTGCTGATTTACCACGTGCTCGGAGGTGAAGGAAAATATCGCGAGAGAAACCTACATGTCTAAGAAATAAGAAAAAAAAATTTGAAGAGACGTGAAGTTCGCCAACACGCATTGGGGCAGCCTGGCGAACATTTCCTTGCCTAAAACCCTCTCAGAGATGAGAGGAGGCCTGTGCCCAGCTGTGGGACGTATATAGGCTGTAACTTTACTTTGCTTTACTTTTTGATATTCGTGTTCTGGCTAATGTAATATGAAAAATAAATCGTGTAACGAAGAACGATCTACTAAAAGGATTTTCCATCAACCTTAAACTACTTATAAATGCTAAATGTACCTACACCTTTGTTTTATACTATTAATTATTGAACAGTACACTATTTTAACTTATAATACCGGTGAAAACTACTAGACAATCGCTTTTAGTTTGTTTTTAAGCTATTGTTATATTTATATTTTAATTGTTAATTTCTCAGTATTCCCGTTAGATATTGTAAAACTAATATTACTAATGTAATCTATGGATTATAAGGAATAAATCGACATATATTTCATTAAGTTACGCCACAATATGTGGTGGGCCCATTGGTCCATACAAAAAGAAATTGCCTCCTAATGAGAATATAATGACAAATTTAAATGCCTAAATTCAGCTGTAGAATGGTACATTGTGCA